CGCAGTGGGAAAACTCATTTCTAGACCTGAGCACCCAGGTGGCAATGGCTGAAGGCACCGGAGAGCATGTGGGTAATGGTGAGAGCCAGCAGGACTCAGGGAGACGCCACAAATTTGTCGCTGCCTTCTCATTTGATGAAGTTAAGATTGCACAGCATCGAATGGGTGCTACAAGCTGCTGCCCAACTGTGTGTCCTCCTCTCAGATTTATCTGAAAGATCCTACAGCTGCTACTCCACGCATAGGGTTTGGGTTTTGCTGGGCGTAGGGTGCGGAGGGTGAAGCATAATATATATTTTCCACTGGCTCCTGTCACATACTGGACATTTTACAAACATCATCCCCCTGACTTCAGCCAAATCCTACTCTGAAGCATTCAGGCACGCAAGAACAGCATGGTGGAGACACAGCGGACTCGTGACGGAAACACATTGCGCTGAAAGGAAGAAGTTTGACATTACCAGTGCAGCAGTAGCAGGGCTCAGCGCTCCTCTTTCTTTCTATGAGATGCAGAGCACAGAAGAGCACGTAGGCAGCGTGTAAGAACCAGATCACACAGTAATTCTCCTTGCTTCAGTGATTGCTTTGCTACAGACAGGATTAACAAGTAAAGGTAATATTTCCCCACTAGAAGGAAAAAATAAAATAAAAACAAAAAAGGAGGGCAGATGCAAAGGGAAGGACAGACAAGAAAAAGAGAAAAGCAATTGTCAAGACAGTAGAGAAATAAGACCATTTTCCTACTGTACTTCTGGCAGAATTAATACATTTTCTGCAACTCCCTCTATTCAGCGTTCCCACTCACCCTTGAGAGACGCGTCCAGTGGGTTTACTACCACTGACCACTCTGCCTCTTCCAGGCACAGCTTGTCAAAGGCATGCAGAAGGAGCATGTTTATTTTACAAATCAAGTAGTCTTACTTGCTAACCTACATCTGACTGCTGGATGTGTCCAGGCCATATATACCCTGTGTACTAGACGTCACTCCCACTCCAACTTTGCTCAAGGAATATGTCTGAAAAAAACATTTGCTTCAGTAATTTTTGTGAGGGTTAACTTTAGAGCACACAGACAGCCCCACAACCCTAGCACTGGAAGACAGGACCAGAGGAGGAGCCAGCAAGGCAGGGCAATGCAAGCCAGCATGCACCATCGCAGCAGCAGCGGGAACTCCAACCAGGCTTTGGACACTGTCTGCCTTCATGGGTGCCGGCGCAGCTCCACATGATCGGGCCCCTGGCTTTCCTTACGCTCGAACACCACTGATGGGGAAATATCAGCCCCAGCTGCACCGCTGGCTCTTTGCAATGGAGATGGCCGCTCGCACACAAACGGTACCTCTGGACCGCAGGCAGGCAGCTCTCCCCGGTCCTCCGCAGAGCCGGCCGGTGAGCTACGCCTGGCTGGGAAAGCAGCAGCCCCCACCGCAGGATCACTGCTGGAAGCCGCATCGCACCCTCGCTTCCGAGCCACGCTCAGAAAAGGGAGGCATGCTGCTCTGCCACCTTCACCCACCTGCACCCCAGTGACCGGTGGGGACCGTGGCTTGAGCAACCTTGTGGCACCAGCAACTCGCACAGACAAACGCTGCACGTGCAAGGAAATGCGGCCTGAAGGATGAAGAGCTGGGGCTGGCCCCACGTTGCTGGACCACAGCGGCACCAGCTGCCCTTTGCATTACACAGGAAGGGTCTCCTTACAGGGCTTAATTTTAGGGCACAGCGTGCCAGTCCGCATGCTGCAGAAACGCCTCATGCCCTCAGCAATGTGGCTGCCAGGCCACAAGCACAGTCAGCTGCAGACACCGGAGCATCCTGGCTGCTGTGCTTGGGAGGTACCGCTAATTCCCCACAAATCACTTTTGCCCAGACCTCTGGCACCCTGAAAATTAGCAAAGTAAGAGAAATAGTAGTAATGGAGTATTGGTTTTCTCTCTAGAAAAAGGTCTCCCCTTACTTTCAATTCTGTGAGGAAATTTATCGCTTGGTCGACCATTTTAAATATTCATGGTGTTTGATACGCCCAAACACATCAGCTGATTCATAAATTTAAGGGGTTACCTTTAAAGAAGCCTGTTATTTCATCTCAGTTTTTACAGAGCTGATAAAACAGGATATAAATACATATCCAAGAGAGAAACTGCGCCGTGAGATTGTTCAGCCGGTGGTCTCTGCTGGGGCTCTCAGAACTGCATCTGCCCTTTCACACTGCAGTTCATGCAAACACCTACACATTTTAAGCTTTTCCAAGTGTGAACAACACCCACTTATTTAACTACCATTATGGTAGTTAAATTAAGACAGCTTGTTTGGAGTGAAACATGCCTTTTTTCTTTTTCTTTAAAGACAGGTCTAAGGCCATCAGATATCGAGGAAAAAAAACAACAGAGCCCTCCTGTCACTACTTGTTTCTTTTCTGTTCTATTCACCTGAAGACAATCACACACTGCTCCACTGCCACAGCTTTGCTTTCTCCATCCTGACACTTTGTGCACTATTACTAACATGAACAGAAGTTGCTTGAGAAGGTAAGTGAAATCCTACGGCTTTATGGCACACCCAATGCCAGACAGACATTAATGCTACCTTGTCACCTTAAAGATCTCTGTATGCAACTCCTGCAGCAGTTGGGAAAAAGGAACATTTGGAAAGAGAAATTAGATTGGGTCACGCTATTAGGGATTTTTTTCCCTTCTCACCAAGTGGTTTCCTTAAGCAGAAGCTCTTTAGAGAGTGAATTGTGCCTGACCGGAGGATGGGACCCCAGGTTTTCCATCAAAATCAAAATTGCTCATGTTCATTTTCACTTTTTTTTTTTGGTGCTACAGCCTTTTTTTTTTTTTTTTTTTTTCCAAAAAGCAACCTTATCCCTGCCTACCAGCCCATTGCCATTCAGGACAAAGCAACCACTCCTCTTTTTTAGAGGGCACGGGCACTGTTATGAGAGTGTTATAAAGCCCTGGGTCTTTAGCATCTTACCTGGTTGATAACATATACTCCATAATCTAGTTGCTGCCTTTGGAGAATTGGGTGCAGGTAATAGAGCCAGTACTTCAGGTGCTCCTCTCGGTTCCTGAACGGTATGATTATTGCTACTTTCTGAAGTGCTATACAGTCCTTTGGAGCAAAACGACCTCCTGCTTTGACCTCTGGGTTTATTCGTGCCACTTCTTCCAGGTTGACAGGCTGGGAAAACTCCACACGTAGTGCACCAACTGGAAGAGAGGCACAGCACAAAGCGAGTTAGCACACACAATCTGTTTCTCTGAGCACACATCCTTTACAGGTTTGTTTTTTGTTTTGTTTGTTTTGGATCCGAACAAAATCCCAGCAGTGCACGGAGGTGTTGAAGCTTGGACCAGCCGTACCGAAAGCAACCGCACACTGCCGTTCAGAGCAAAGGCTCAAACGCTGTAGCCTCTTGGTATCAGAACCCAACCAAGTCGCTGACACCAAGCGAGTCTTGAAGATCCTCCTGTCTGTGTGGCAAATCAAGAGCTGTGCTCCCACCGGCACGTGCGCCACAAAACCAGCCTAGAGGAGAGCACTGTCCTCTGCGCTCTCACCCACCTCGCACAGCGTGAGAGTCCAGCACTTCAAAAATAGCCCTGCTCTCCTACCGACGTAAGTACTTACGCCAAGGCTAGCCACATGCAAAGCGAACAAAACCCCCTTTCTTGTTTTTTTGGTTTTTTTTTTTTCTTCTTACACTTTCAGTGTTCTGTAGGCATGCCCACTATTTATTAAAAGTCCTGTACTAGAACTGCTAAAAACGCATATCCAGATTTGCATGCAGGTTACCAATTCCTGCACACGGTTTCAACAGTGGCAGGTTTTGAAACCGACAAAATCATCTGTGCCAAAACTGGTGTGTAAAACTGAGAAACCGCCCTGGCACCACAGAGAGGACAGCAGTCTCGGAGCTGCTTAAGGCCGAGCTCAGGGAGAGAGGGCAGTGACAGCCCCAGGCGCTGATATGGCCGATGAGACCTACTTTGCAAGACTTTGGCTCACGCGGCTGCACGAGTGCTCTTTGCTTGCCAGGGCTTCTCTGCTCTGCCACGCTGGCTCTGAAGCGGTCCCTCCCATACAGCTGTACGTGGGTCCGGGGCTAAACACGGCATCGCTGACCACAGCCCTTTTGTGGATGCCCTCTCTCTGTTAACATCCAGGCTGGCCCTTCTGCAGTATTTGCTTCCAGCTGCTCCAGCCCTGATGAACAGACTTGCTGCAAAAACTTAACGAGCGCGGTAGCTGCCCGCAGAAGGACCTCTCTTGCTGCCACATCCTGCTCCCAGCAATGGCGAGCCAATAAATGGGGCTTTGCGCGCATGCTCAGCTGCCAGCAAAACCTCTGCAGTGGGTGGGGATGCTGGGGCTCCTGTGCATAAAGCAGAAGGTCTTCACCATAAGCACTAGGCTGGGGATCACTCCTGAAAAGTTTGGCTGCTGTACCCTCCCCCTCTCCTCCATCAGGGCGTGAACACACGCACGTGCGTGCATGCACGCGCTCAGACACGCGTCTTAGAGCTACCATCTCCTCTTCGCGTTTGCTGAAGAGACCCCCAGGCCCCTCCGAGGGCACGCACAGCGTGCACACTTCTGCATGCACACACCAGCGGTGGGTACGCTTGCACTCAGGAAGCCCCTTGAGAAGAAGGCGCAAGTGATTTTCAGAGCTCTAGAAGACAGGGGCCGTCACAACCAACCTTGCGCATACCCCAACATGGGACTGCTAAAAAAGCAGAAATAATGCTCCAGGCTCACGGCTCATTCCCTGGTTATTTATCTAGAAGAAGCTACCTCAGTTCGCTTGTGCTGCTCCACAAACCTGTGTGCACTCACGCTGGAGATGGAAAGAAGGAGACCAGCCAAACAGGCAGAGGTGCTCAGTGTACCGCCGGAGGTAGTGAGCAAGCTTTGCTGCCTGATTCACTGCCGGCACAGTGCAGGCAAGACCTTGCAGAAACTGGCATTGTAAGCAGGATGCAAAGGGATCTCCCAGTCTCTGCATTTTGCACAGGTTAAATAGACAAGTTTGCACATTTCCCTGTCACACAAGAAGGCAGCAATTTCTCAGAGCCCAGGCACTGGGATCAGTCTGCCCATGCTCTCAGCATTCCCGCAGTTGCCATCTGCACCCCCAATGTGCCTGCCCAGTTCCCCACCCTCTCTGCCCCATGGTGCAAGCTGGGCCCTGTGCATGCCTGCCCTGCGGCTGCATGGCTGGGGACGAAGCCTCTCTGGCCAAAAAGCAGCTTGCAGGGAGAGCTGGAAGACCACTCTGCAGCGGGAGGAAAAGGCACGAATGGGAGGAACTAGGGCAGGAAGGAACACGCAGCGGCATGACCGGGACCAGGGCCCGGCGGTGGCAGGATCAGGCCAGGCATGGCCACCCCTGTGCCAGTGGGACAGGCAGGGAGCAGGCGCCAGAGCAGCGAGGCCAGCGGAGGCGTGAGGGGGAGAGAGCACACCGCTTCCTCCGAATTTGGCTATCGCTTCCCCGCCGTGGTGGCGAGCGCTCTCCCAGAGCAGCCTCCGGCCTCGACCCACCTCCACGCCTGCTTGCCCCTGCCCATCCCTCTGCTCCCCAGCGTCACCTCCCTTAGGAGACCGGCACTCACAGTTAGGATGATGCTACACTTTTGTGCATTTAAAACAGCAAAAGGCATTGCACTGGGGACGGTTCACCTAACTGGCCATGGCCAGCAAACTGGATTACGCTGGGCATCCGTGCCCAGGGATGTTACTTCCCTGCCTTGCTTGCAGCCCGCCTCCAGCAGCGGGAGCGACCCTGCGGAACGCTGCAGGAAGCAGCGGGGCGGAAGCAGCACATCCCTTCGTGGGGCCCTGCTCCCAGGCGCCGGGCGGCTGCCGTCCCACCGCGCAAAGCAAACCCCTTCCTGCCGGGGCGGGCTGCGCCCTCCACTCCCGGTTGCTGCTTCCAAGAAAGAACTGCAAGCCCCATCAGCTCGGGGGGTTGCTTTCTGGTTTAAGGAACAAAGGCTCTTTTAATGTCTCGCACTGACTCGCACAGTGTAAGGGGGGAGAGGAAACATAAGTTTGCCATTTAGGCGAATTTACAGGGGAAATCTCCCGCTGGCGGCCTCTGAGCTCCAGCTGGGCAAGGACAGCCACAAGCGTCTGGACACTGCAAGCAGGGCTTTTTGCAGGCTGGCACCCGTCAGCCCCCCAGGCCAAACGTGGACCTCTCATCCCGCCAGCACTTGCTCTTGTTGTTTGCCTTCAGGAGTCTGGAACGTAGGCAAGGAAAAGCTGGGAGAGGAAAACACATTCATGATACAAAGCAGCTGCGGAAGACAGAGATTTAACAGTTTCAGAGTCTTGAAGGACACTGGTGAGAAATGATCCATACCGCTTCGACCCTCCAGTTAATCCAGTCAGTTTTAAAGGCAGCACACCTTCTTGGAAACACTGCCCCGAGGGACGCGGCCAACACGCAGGTCAGTCAGGAGGCCCCAGGCACCGGTGCCGTACGCGTACAGCAAGGCAGCCGCTTTTGAGGCAGGCTTGACGCAAATCACCCAGTTAATACATTCACTGGCATCAGTAAGAACACAAAAAAGTAAAAAAAACATGAATAGGCTGTTTTCAAAATACAGAACGGCTAAAACAAACTAGACTTCGTACAGCCATGTGGCTGACAAAAGCAACAGCAACATGCCACCGGCTGCAAATCAACGCTTTCAGTTCACTTCCCAAGCAGGATGAGGCTAAAGCCAAATCTGCAAACACAGGCTTTCCAACCAGTGACCAGAGTCACGGTTCCAGTTTCTACTTTTATATCGTTTTGACCGAAATTTGACTACCTGGATAGCAAGCAGCCCCAGGGCTGCTGTCTCCCAAGGATGCTGACTCAGGAAACGAGCTGCCAATGCCAAGAAAGTGCGCGAAGTTTGCCGCGAGTGCTGTGCCACTGGCCAAAACCATATCCCTATCTGTGTTTACAAGGTAAACTTTCCAGCCCGATTCACTCCATCTCAACCGCCTGACATAGGAGCCACTGTATTTTCAGCCCCTGCTAAAAACAGATGCGCATGGCAGAGCTATGCAGACTTGCAGCTCGGGTCACCCATACGGCCTGGGATTTGTAGGCAGACACCTTTTGGGTTACAAAGTTCCAACAGAGCAGTTTCACAAACCTCCACCATACTTTTTCAGCAAAAGAAAACCTCAAAAACATGAATAAGCAACTGCCGGAAGCTTGCAGAAGACACAACAGCCCAGCATCACATCCAAACACTTCAGAGATTGTAAAAGGAGGTTTTAGCTGGCAGTGTAAGGGTAACAGAGAGACAGATACACACAAAAAAAAAGCCAGCCCCCTCCCGCCCCCCATCTCCGACGCCCAGAAGCGTTTCTGCCTAAAGGGAGGGTGCACAGGAAAAGCGCGGTGCAGGCGCAGATGCCGTCGCGGCGCACACAAACAGGAAGCAGCTTCTCACACAAAGCACAAGGTGAGGCTTGCAAAAAGCCAGCGGTAGCGTAGCCATCAGGCCTCAGGAACCTGGCCCGCAGCCCCTGTGATCTTCTCGTCCCCCGCTTCCCAATGGCCACGCTTGCCACAACAGCTAAACCTCCTGCTCTGGGAGGCTGCCAGCACGCGTCCGCCCCGGTGCTCACCCGCTGACCCAAACGAGAGGACCCTTGCACAAAAAGCCCAGAATCCGCTCAGCCTGCTGCTATAATAAATCTAGAGGCTGCTCCAGCCTGCCTGGACCAGAGATACTAGAAGTGTTGGGAAAACTCAAGCAGCAATGCTCCGCAGAGCCAGACTTGTACTCTTGCATCCCCAGGGGGACTGTGAATGGGACGGCACCACGCTCCATCCAAGGTGGCGGCGGGGGAGGAAAGATGGGGCAGCAGCCACAAAGGGCAGCCCCGGGGCATTCAGGTGGGACCCCCTTCCGCAGGAGGGCAGTGGAGCCCCAGCAGAAGGAGATGGGAAGGAGGGCAGCTGGATTCATGGAGTTGGAGAGGTTCTGGGTTCGGAGAGGTGATCCAGCAGACTGAATTGCCCTCCCAAGCACTTCACTGGGAAGAATGGCAAAATTCACCTGCGCATTTTAAGCCAGGTGCAATTCTCAGATATTTAATTTAGTGAGAATGAAAGCAAAAACGTATAGCACGGAGGCTGGAAAAAGTCGCTCCGCAAACATAGCAGAAAAGAATGTTTCCATCGCCCTGGCTGAGAGCCGGGCGCTGCTCTTAGCTGCCGAGCCACATGCGCACCCACACTGCCATGCTCAGACAAACCCCATGCAAAGGAAAGCTGGAAAAGAGAAGCAGAACTCTCAGAAAGGAAAAAAAAAAACCACCAACCCAACTCTCTTTGCAGGGGCCCAGCAGAAGAGGGAAGGGCCCGTCGGCCACACCAAGTCTGCCCTGGTTGGGAAAAACAAAACCAGCTCCATCCCAGAAAACGCGGGGGCAAGTCCCCCCACCCGGGGCTGCGGAGCAGGGGTCACGCCAGCCCCCAGACCCACGTGGCAGCTCCAGGGCAGGCAGGTAGCTGCATCCCACGGCTCAGCGAGGCAAGCATCTCCTTGTCAAAACCAGCTAATCTGGAGAGCTGTGTCAGCACCTACGCAGGCGGCACCAGCCAGGCTGGAAATGGGGCTCCG